TCATAGTTCAGTTTGCGAATAGTGAGACGCCTGAGACAAGGGAACGAGTCTCTAGAGAGGGCCGCATTTGGCACCGAGTTTGGGAGGCGTTCTGTAAAATACCTGAGACGGCTATTGTCCGTGCTTTGAATATCTAGGCAGTTCAAGTGGGGCAATTGGCCGAGTGACAACAAGGAGTCAGCGCCAAGGGTGTTGACGTCCGTAACCAGTGAAGACAGATTCTTGAAGTTCTTCCAAGTTCGGGAGGGAGGCTCCTCCAAAAGCATGCGAAAAAGAGAGGCATCATCTTGCGCGCCATCCGGGGAACCAAGGTACAAGGTAAGTGATTCCAAAACGGGGCAGTGATCCGCAATCCGCCTCAGTATAATGGACATCGTCGAGAATGTCGCATATGAGTCCGCGCACCACAACCTTGTAGCTTTGAAGGCCGTAAGGGATGGCGCAATAAAGGTAGAAACCCAAAGAATAGGCTCCTCGTCTTTGTTGAATTTGTGATCAAGCGTAAAATTCTTGAGGTTCAGTAAGAGAGGGGATTCCCGTGCACGAAATATCAGCGCTTGCCACGAGTAGTCGATATTGAACTCAGACCGATAGCTGGGTCTACTTGGGCCGAACGTGGCTAGAGAATGAACGAGTGGGGCATAGATATCAAACCGCGAGAAGTCTGCGGGAGGAGGCGGGAGCTAAGAAACGTGTTTCTTAGATGATAGAGCTAGCCTCCAAACGCAAGTAAACTCACGCGAATAGTATACTGGCCTTTCTTTAATTCAACCTCCTGCGCTCCAGGGATGAGTAGTATTAAGGGTTTGGCCGTAGAGAGATCTTTCCAAATGTGAATAATTCCTTGTTTGAAAAAGTTATGGGAAGTTGAAATCAGACGTGCGCAAGTTGAGGTATCCGCCAAGGCAAGAATCAGACCAAGGAGTTCTGCATTGTTCAGGACCTGAAGAACGCTCATAGTGGGGACGATCACAAGAATAGGAGTGGCGTACACACGTACCCAAACAACCGCCACACATGCCCGATTTAAGTTATATAAGAGACAACACAACGGGGAACAAATAATTGAAGACCACTGAGAAACACGACGACCTGATACCATTCATATGCATTTTGAAAGGCAATAGTGATTGTAAATTTACCATACTCGCAGGGCAACTGACCTCCAGACAGTCGCTAAGAATACTAAGGGAAGCGGAAATTGTTTCAGACAAGATTCGTTCAAATGATTCACGCTTGGGATTCAAGTTTGCCACACAAGTTGAGGCCCTGGTCGCATTCGTTGACGCCTTGCTGCCAGAAACCACTCAATTGTTGATGTCTGAAATGAGCGCCCAGGTGCCAATGGCCGAGGTCACGTGGGTACCTGGATGCAGTGCGGGTGCCTGTGTTCAGCACGGGGATAGTCCTGATCCCGACGTCTACCATGTCTTGCTGTGGTGAATCGCGAAAGCCCGAGGCAACCAACAACTTGAACAACGAAAAACTCTCGCCAAATGGTGTCATCAACCAGCAGCCGATGCACCATACGGCTATGATGGGCTCTCAAATCCACCAGCCCCAGCCTCATCCCGCTGCACCCCAACTTGCGTACCAGCCGAACCGCCAGAGCTCGTTTGGACCCCCGTCGATTCACCATAGTACCCATACGGGTATGGCTTCGCCCCCGCCGATGGGTCAATTTGGACAGATAAATTCGTTTAATGGGACGACGCTTATGGGCCAGTCGATGCACGCCAAGGACGCGACCAACTCTTCGTTCCGGGCGAGTACGATTTCCCCGCCGTTGATGACCGCGTATCCACAGGGAGGGACGATGGGCCAGGCTGGGCCGATGGGAATGGGCGGGATGGGTCCCAGCGCTAGTCCTCAGATTGTCGCGTACACCCAAGCTTCGCCGGACGAGGGCAAGATGAGCGTGTCGATTGATTTTGGTACAACCTTTTCGGGTGTAGTGAGTGTTGTTTTCGTGTTTCTTGTTGTGAGGCGCGCGGCTGACACTGGTTGCTAGGCGTTTGGATCATCTCGTATCGCAGGTGGACGAGTTCAGCAGATCCTCCAGTGGCCAGGCTCTTTCGAAAACTTCCGCAAGATCCCAACGTGTTTGCTGTACAACGAACACGGACAGGTTCTCACATGGGGTCTCGAAGCCAAGGTATGTCCGACTTCGCCATTTCACGCACTGCCTGGGTCTGATTTGTTTTACGTGACTGCAGAACGCACCGCCCATGCCGGGTTCGATTCGCTGCGAATGTATGTCTGCAGGCTCGGTGTGCGCGTGGGTTGTTTGCTGATGACGGTTTGCAGGGTTTAAATTGTTCCTCGAGCCAAAGAGTTTGAGGGACGGCACTATGGATCCGCGCTTACCTGGCTTGCCCGTGCGTATAGACGCCAGTAACGTGTTGTTTGACTATCACTGACTCCTTAATTCATTTATGCCACCTCTCTTTGTCGATCCTTTGTCATTTTACTTTGCGCCACATAACCACCCCACACTCCCATTGGAATTGAAATTTGGCACCAACAGCCCGGCAAACGCCCCATCGACGCGATCGTTGACTTTCTCTCATGCCTGTGGGATTACGCGAAGCAACAAATCACGCGCGAGATCGGAGCCGTTGCCGACCTCGGTGCGTCATGCTTCCGACGTGCCTTATCCACCATCACTAACTTCTTCTCCCTTCCCCCTCACACTACCTCCTAATAACACTCCCTTCCATTCCGCTCCCTTCACTGACTCGGACGTACTGTTATGTGAATAGATTCGGCCGACGTATGGTTGACTGTTCCGGCGGCATGGGACGCAAAGGGCTGCGATATTATGAGGGAGGCTGCGATCAAGGCTGGGCTTGTGCAGAGCGCGGGGGCAAAGGGAGTTGACAAGAACTGGAGGGATCGTCTGAGGATTATTACGTGCGTCATCATTTATCCCGCTACCTCCCCTCTCCCTTCCGCACAACATGAGCCATCAACTGACTATGTGATGTACATCTTAGTGAACCCGAAGCAGCTGCCGTGCACTGCGCGCATCTTACCAACCTTCATCAACTCCGCCCTTCGCAGAACTTCATGATCTGCGACGCGGGTGGTGGAACTGTCGATTTGGCCATTTACAAGATTCTAGGAAGTCTTCAGAATTTGGAGATCGGAGAAGTCTGTGCGCGGAGCGGAGCAAATTGTGGTAGTTTGTTCTTGGATCTTAGGTATGTCCTTTTATTTCATGTGCGGGAGTGAAAACTAATGGCGGTGGGGGATGTAGGTTTAGGGATTTGGTGGCGAAATTGTTGGAGAGCCACCCGGCGCATACGGACGCTGCGAGCTTGGCGTATTTCCAGCATGCGTTTAGTGAGACGGATAAGCTTTCGTTCAGGGGCGAGGAGGATGATCGTGAGTTCCTTCCCACTCTGGCGTGTTGATGAGGGTGGTGTTAATGGTGGATTATAGGCATTCCGTTCCAGTTCAACTGTTTCAATGTTGAGGATTCGGATGATCCATCGGTGGGATTGATTAACGGCGAGTTGAATATTCCTGGAGCGCTCCTTCGCACCGAGGTAAGATCCCGCCTCTCCCATTCTTTTCTCTTTCAGTAAGCAGGTGACTGATATTGAATGGGGAATAGGTTTTTGATCCGGTCGTGTCGCAGGTCACGCAGTTGATTGAGGATCAGCTGTCGAGGTGCGCGCAGAAGATCGATGCGCTTTTGCTTGTCGGTGGGTTCTCGGGGAGCGAGTACTTGTTTAAGCGAGTTGATGTGAGTTTCTTCTTTTATCTTCCCCTAACCGCATGCCCCTCGCTATCGCCTCAGCTAGTTTCCCTGCAGCTGCGTAGTGTAGTTTGCTAACGTGCATTATGTGTTATAGGAGCGATTTGGCACCCGTATTGGCGTAATTGCTCGACCGGCCGATGCGGACACCGCTACGTGCCGCGGAGCAGCGCGCTATGGTCTTGCGAATCGGGCGTTGGTGTCTAGTGTCATTGCGCCTAGGGCGTACATCATGAAGGTGTGTCATTCATATCTCTCTTCGAAACGTATGCTGACAATGTTGTTGTAAATAGGTCAAGCTTCCCGCCGAGCCTGAAGACTGGCAGAAACGCCCGGCCTACATTACCCAAAACAACGCTGGTGTGAGCATTTGCGAGAACCGGCTGCAGTACCTGGTCCAGAAGGGCGCCATTCTTAGGAAGGGTCAAAGGGTCAAGACCAAATTTTGTAAATTCTCGCAGGGAATGGGTGGTACGTTCAACTCTTATATCGATTCGTCTTGAATTGGACTAACGGGATTGATGTATGGCTAGATTCGACGTTCGTTGCAGTGCTTTACACGAGCGATAGCGAGAGGGTTATGCGGTATACGGACGAAGGGGAGACGTCTGAGCTGTGCAAGTGGACCGTGGATCTGAGTACCTTGCCCAGTTTCCAGGAGCATGCGCGTATGGGAAACCAGGTGCGTTTAGCTACATTTCGTACTCTGACGCACATTCTGACTTGAGGTGGTTTGTTTGCTTTTATAGAACGGATTCTACACAGGTTCGTACATCATCCACCAAAAACGATGCCTTGACTAACTTTACTTCCAATGTAGAATTTGAACTTGGTCTGGAACTCGATAGCGCTGAAGTGCGCGGTGTGCTGCTCTACAACGGAGACGAGTGGGGCAGGGTCGTGTTTGAGTTTTTGAACGCGTAGGCGTACATTCTCTACGACCCTCTTTCCCTTCTTGCTTTCGTGCTGTCGTATGGGGTAGTGATGTGGTTTGTCTTTTTGATCTTTTTTGATACCTGGGGTTGAATGTTTTGTTGTTATATCGTGATCTTGCTAGTAGTTCTCGGGCGACGATGTAGTTTGGTAGTTGGCTTGTGCTGTTATACTTTTACACGTATTTTTTGTGGCCTAAATTACCTCCAAGTCGATCTGCTTGATAATGTGTAAATGATCGGGGCGTGCAAGGCAAGTCAAGTTTGGCGATTGATATAGCCTTACTTTGGGAGCCCTCAAATAAGCTTCCTTGGCTCAGCTGGTAGAGCGTTGGTCTCATAAGCATGAGTAATCACGTGATTACGTAATCCAAAGGTCGTGAGTTCGAGCCTCACAGGGAGCAATTCTTTTATTTCTACTTGTTTTCTCTTGTAGTATCGTCAATTATGCACATACGATCATCCGCCAGTTACTTCCGAGTCGTTCAGTTTTTTTTTTTTACTTAGTTCGTACTAGTTGTTTTGGTCTTGTATCGTGTTGAGCTGCATCGGTCTGTTAATTGGGCTAGTCACGTGGTTAAACTAGGAGTTCGAGCCTCACAAGAAGCACGAAGTTTAACTATGGACGAACCACAACCGCTGTAAAGTTGAAGTCAGCGTCCAATATGATGATCATCCAATAAGGTTAATTTTGTGCATCTCGATGTGACATTGTACGCTGCTCTCCCTGTAAGGCGCTGCACGTAAAGACACTCAGCGGCGGGACACAGAAGTGTAAAGCCAACTAGTATTACCTGCACGTAAAGACACTACAAAGGAGTCAGGGAAGGTAGCTACTAGTACGTGAGAATACATACCTCAGCGGCGGGACACAGAAGTGTAAAGCCAACTGAGGAAAGAATACGAAGCACGAGAAACTACATATATAGGAGAACAAACAATCACAAACAAAGCCATGCGCCACTGCGCCACAACACTCCCACTTGAAAAGCGAACAAACGAGCATTTCACCAGACAAACGAGTAGAAAGAATAAAAAATAAAAATAAAAATAAGAGAAATAAGAATATCATGTCACAACCTCAAAACATCCACCGACTTATTGAAGGATAACGAAAAATCGAGCAGACCAAGTAGCTTAGAAAACACCGGCAAAGGTAGCGCCTTCGTGCATATGTCCGCTACGTTTTCAGTTCCCGGTACCCATTCGAGAGTCAGCACACCGTCGCGAACCAGGTTCCGCGAGAAATGGTAGTTGACCGCGATGTGTTTCGTGCGTGCGCTAAGACCCTCCCGCAAAGCCATCTTGATGGCGCTCTGAGAATCCATACGAATCACAGTCGATTTTGACGCGATCTGGAAGTCGACGAGGAGCCGCCGTAGCCAGACAGCACTAGCGGAGCACTCGGAAAGCGCCATATATTCCGCCTCCATCAGTGAAAAATAGTAAAATTTATTACATGCTATAACACTGTATATCACTGATTTTATGAATTATCAGGATTCAGCACTACCCCCTTTTTATTAGTGCGAATTAACCAGGATTTTATGGATTTGGTTGGATTTAGAGGATTATCTACTAACCATATATGGCAATGACCCAATCTGGCAGGTCCCCAGTGGACAAGTAGCATCATGTGACAACAGGGTCCACTTGATCATCAATTGATGACAGGCACAGGTCACTTGATTCTTGCCCTGAGACTTGGCACTCCATCAGCCAGAAGTCCCCCTTGACCCCTGAGTCCTCCTCCCCTGCACCATCAAACCACTCCAGGCCATTGCACCCAATCAATCACACAGGGGTATTTTCCAGCATTTAGTCCATTTGGTCAACAGGGGACAAAGATTCCATGGCTGGATATGGAAATTGATCAAATTGCAAATTGACTAGACCATATATGGTCAAGCATCAAAAAATTGAAAAGTTGCGGACCATTCTGAAAGTTATGTAAGCGTTGTCAGATTTGAAATTGCCAAGTAAATGGTGGAGAAAATCGCATTTTTATCGCCGAGACACGAGTCTTTTCGTATTTAGATCAATGTTTGGGCTTGTTCTCCATCAATTTGCATCCAAACTGGGTGCTAATTGATGTGAATTGATGTGTCAGGACAAGGACTGCTGCTGGGACCCATTTCAAATTGGCAGCAGGATTATTTCCTGAAATAAAAGACCTAGGGGGTTGTATAACCCTAAATTTGACGTAATCTGACTAAATCCAATAAATCCATGTTCATTCCACTAAATCCTACCAAATCCTACTGAATCCAACTTTCCAAGTTAAATAACAAATCCACTTTTTGCTGATGTCGGCAGATGAACGTGATACGCTTTGCTGTTTCCTGGCCTTCCAGGCGATCGCCCCTCCCCCTAAAGTGAAGACGTAACCCATATAGGAAATGTAGTCTCGCTGATCTCCCGCGTGGTCAGAATCGCTATACCCCAGCATCTCCGCAGAAGACCCCCTCTTGAATGACAGGCCCGCGTCTATAGTCGTCCTTAAGTACGCAACGACTCGCATTAACGCCTTCCAATGCGCCGGCCCGGGCACCTTAGCGTGCTGAGCTAAAAATGAGAGAGCGAATGCCACATCGGGACGTGAACCGCCGGCAATCCAATTGAGGGAACCAAGGACGCGCGAATAAGCCTTGTCAGCCATGAAAGCCTGATCGGTTTCAGACAGAGCATCTGCAGGGAGACCGGAGTTATGATTCTTGAGCTGGATACCGTGCTCCATTGGAGAATAAACCGGACGACAAGCTGACATGCCAAGCTCATCGAGCAGATTTCGGACGTACTTCCGCTGAAAAATCCTTAGAACGCCCGCCCCGCGATCGCGCTCTATCTCCAGCCCCAAGATCTGTCGCACTTCGCCCAAGTCCTTGAGGTCAAACACTGACGCCAGCAGGGACTTGACAGACGCCATGGAGTCCCCAGACCGGGATAAGATGGTAAAGTCATCGACGTACACAAGAACCCAAGAGCGCAGGCCGCCAATATCGATGTAGAACAGGCAAGGGTCGGTTTCAGACTGGGTGAAACCTAGCTCGAGTGTCGTGAACCACGTGAACCCACTCCTTTTATTTTTCTCACTTCGGTCTTGGTATGGTACCTTGGACCCTGGTATCCGCGCACTTGCCTTTAGCGCTTTACACGTCACATGACTCAGGGCTCACTCTACCTGGCAGCACAGGCCCTGAGATCACATGACCTTACACCGTGGCTCACAACTTATCTCGTGGCTGACCACTCGACACTCTTTCACATGCTTGAGCATTTACCTTGAGACTCTGCCTCACGTCGTCCTCTTACCTAAGGATCTTTCACATGTAAACCTCATGTACACCATGAGGCGTTTCACATGTACACCATGAGGCTCGCCACTTGCTCGCCTCATGTTTCTCTTCTTTACGATTGGCTAGGTCTAAAGATAGACTTTCACATGTACATAGGAGGCTGTGCGCCTCAATGGTATAAAAGAACGGTGAGCAAGCCTGGAATCCCCAGCTTGCTCTACCTCGTCAATCTCCCCTCAAACATCAGCAAATCTGTACTACCTCTGTAGGAATAAGCAGCCTTTTCTGTAAATTCCACTGCTCTGTAGAGATATGTAGGGAAGAAAAATGCTACAGTTGCTACATAGGCTATGATTACCTACCCACCACCCAGTAGGAAAAGAATTCCTATGGGAGAGATTAAGGAGGCAGTGCTACAGATACTCAATGACACGAGAGATACATAGCTGATTGCTGTCCTACACAGGTTAACATATTTTTCCGTGTCACTTTGTAATAAGCATGAATTGTAATAATATTGTCAAACTAAATACATGATTTACGGCGTAGCTGTAGTACATATTGTAGACGCAGGTAGCAAACGAGAGCAGTAGACGTGGTCAGTGGCAGCAGGGGTGCAGTCAGCAACAAAAGGGAGTGTGCGTGTACGGTGGACTGAATTGGATGGGACTGGTTATGCAAGCAAGAGAGCAGGGCCGGGCGTGTAGCCAGCGTTAGTGGCCGAGTGCAAGAGGAGGTTCCATGTGGAGTGAGGAGCGACACGTAGTCACACTCACCAGGCACGGGGGAACGGGAGTAGCACGGCGGAGAGCAGGCGGGTGCGACGGGCTCACCTGCCTTACACGCATGCACGTGGGTACGCGTGAGCCGGCGTGTCACACTACTTGGTAGCCGACAGGGGGTAGTGGTGGTGGGGAATGGTGGACGCGACCGGGAGGTGATCAGTGGTGAGAGGGCGCGTGTGCGCTCAAACATGCGTCAGCTGGCGCGTCACAGTATATCAGTAGCCGGCGGGGAGCTGTGTTGGCCGGGAATGGTGGAGACGGCTGGGAGGTGGTCAGCGATGAGAGGGTGCGTGTGCACGAGGGACTGACCCAGGCATGACCGGTCGTGGACCAGTCGGTCAGTCTTGGTTGGCGGACAAGGGCGAGTACGGCTGCATGGGGACGGTGGACGCAACATAACTGGATAGGGCTCTGTCAGCGGCGGGAGGGAGCGCGTGTGTGCCACAGACTCACCTCGAGACGGCGGTTGGCACGGCCGGGGAGCGAGGAGTGGCCGGCTTCAGTGGGCGAGTGCAAGTGCGAATGCGAGGGCGGAGGGGGCGGGTTTGACTCTATATTGCCTGAGGTCAGCAGCAAAAAAAACTAGATGGGCACAGACGCGTCGGTACTAACGCGTTAGACGGGGCGTGCGACCGCGAGCGCAAAGGCGACACGGCAAGGCTGGGGCAGCGGCGCCGAACCGGTGACAGACGCGAAACTGGGGGGTGGACGCGGGTGTTGACAATGTGAGCAGGGGAGCGACGAGGCATGACGTGCTTACCTTAGGTGGGCGTGGCCGAACGTGGGCCGGCCGTCAAGGCTCAGTTGGCGGCCAACGAGTCCAGCTGGGTGACGGCGAGTATGGAGGTGACGAGGCGGCGACGGCAGACGTGGCGTCGGCAGTGGTAACGCGGCGGTTGGGGCGGTCGCTCGAGCGCGAGTCGGGGTGTCGTGTTGAGCGTGCCACTGAGCGGCTGGCGAGGTTGTGGTGGCTAAGGGAACACACCAGGCGTGGCATGGGTCGTGTTTGGGTTCTGGTGGCAACGGTCGCCGAGATCCCAAGGTGAAAAAATGAAGATCCCGGTTGTCACGGAATCCAACAGGGTCATGTGATTGGCCACTCCACATCACCACACCTCTCTCTCAACCACGACATGAGAAGACTCTACACGACGACAATAATGACGACTTGCGTCCGACCAACCCGATTCCTGGTGAGTACCGTACCGCCCCCCCTCCCCCGCCCTCTTGCCACTAACACCACACATCCGCCCCTTATACTCTTGCCCGCGGCCGCACGCCCGCTATCACGCGGTTCTACGGGTGCGTCCACGCCCGTCTTTT